GAATTAGTAATTTAGGGTGTCCCCTTTTCAATTTTTCATTTTAGGGTTTACTTGATGACTTGTTTTGTTGTAATTACTGATTAATTACAACAATTTTATTGGTTTACATTCTTCTAAAGCTTGTTTTGGAACAAATATTTTGTAATTGTGCTCATTCAATGAGTATTGGGGGGTGATTTGCCACTCTTGTCAATTCTTATGTCATGACCTTTATGGCTAATTGTCTCGTTTTCAAATTGAGAGGATGAGTCGTTTGTTAGGGTGTAGTGCTCTAATTGTTGCCCTTTTTCATCTAAATTGAGAAACTGTTGATCTAAAAATAGGAGTATGAGATGGTTGATGTAGTATTGTCATGAAACTAAACAAGCTCTTATCTACGGCCAGATTAAGGAGGGTGTGGGAGGGGGGCTGCTTATTTGGGTGTGAATGTAGGTTAGAATTCACCACTTTAAGCTCATACATTTCGACATTGAACAGTTTAGAAGTGTTGTATACTTAAAGGTAACCTTCTTTTATCTTTATTGTTGAGGAATAACGATCCTCTAAGTCTATTAAATGAGGCGTTGATCAATTAAATTTCTTATTTTCTTTCTTTTGATAAGTTAGGCTTTAGTCTTGAGGGAGAGAGAGAGAGAGAGAGAGAGAGAGGTGGTGATAATAGTACATGTATGTAGTTTTGTTCATAGGTTTTGCTGTTAAAGATGTGGTATGATAATATGTTAGCTGCAACTGAGCCATTTCCAGGTTGGCATAGATGCATGATATAAGGTTTTGGTTTTTCTAATAATTACTTGGCTAGAGTTTGAGGTGATCTACGTAGATTGGATAGGATTGGGACCCTAGAAAATGAAATAGTTTCTTGGACTCTCATTTTTTATAGATGCCTTTGAATCTTTGATGGAGTACAAGGGTATAACTTTGGGTACTAAACTACTGAACGTAGTATTCCGAGAGATAATGGCATTTAATGGAGCATTTTATTGCGATCATTTACTTGAACACTGACTAGTGTTGAATTACTATTGAGTGCCCAATGTCCGTGCTAAATGTACCATGCAATCACATTGTGTGTTCTCTTTATGAGTAAGGTGTTGTCTCACCTGTTCAGTCTTTCATTGTATTTGTGCTTGGAAGGTGGGACTTAAGAAATATTATGCTTCGTTTTAGGTGGGCACTATTATGGCTATCACCTGAGTATCCATTATTGATGCTAGTTTAGTCATTTAAGACTTTTATTTAGTTTCTCCAATGGGTTGTACCATGTGCGTTGTACTGTTTTATCGAAGACCAATTCAATTATGATACTGCTATGTGGGGTGACCATCAAATCTCTTGTAACTTAATATAGTGAAGCCCATTTAGATCTAAACTATCCTTGGAACCATCTTGAACTCAATAACTAATGGAGACAAAATAAAGAAAATAATCAATTAAACAGAGCATAAGAAGTTGATGTATCCTTTCAACTGTATGTGGTAGAATAATGTTGTAGGTAAGAATGTAAGATTCTTTCATGTTTCATGTTTTGGTCTCAAATTTCTTTCATTAATCTTACTTATGTACAGGCTATCAATTAGATATCAGCATTTATTCACCAATTGCTATTATTTTGTCTTCTATAGCAATTTTACATTCCTTACAAAAAAAGGCCTAGCTGTATGAGATCAATGTAAATTCAGCTTGATCTACATTTCTGTAATGTTGCAGTTTTGCGATGAAATCCATGCAAATCTGTTCCACGGACTAGCTACCTTCATGTAATATGAAATATATGATTTTGATTATAGAAGCTGTAGGCAGAAGCAATGAGTTGTAGATAGACAGGGTACAGACATTTCAGAAAGATGACCAAAGTCCTCGCCTTTTGTAATTTTGCGGGAATTCATCCACTTTTCATGTTTTCTCTCCTTCCCTTTCTTTTTTTTAGGTAAGATGGCTTGGAGGTTTATTTCTCAGGAAAGCTAATGCTCCATTCATAGTATTGTTTCATTTATGTTTCTTTGATCTAAAATATGTAACTAAGTAAGTAATTTTTGCAAGTCTGCAAATAAATATTCTCCATATTCTACTCACAGTGGATACTAGATTTAAGTGTCCAGTAACAATACCTGTCACTAACTTTTTCTGTTACATTGTCCTCAGTTCTGAAGTTCCAAAAAAAAAAAAAAAAAGTCATTTGTCTGTTGTAATTTCTTCCTCAACCCATGATTGGTGTCAAGTTCTTTGATACTCAAAGAAACCACAGTGAAACAGGCATTTACTGGAACCACTTCTGATCACATATCTGTCCTGTTGTTTGTTATTATAGCTTCCTGTGAAAATAATGGCTGGCGAGAATGCGTCTACCAATCTGATGATTATACTGTTTAAGTTGTGTTTCTTGGAGTCTTCATTTCCTCTCAAAGATTCTCTTACAAGAATTCGGAATTTTGATACTTATTGGACTAAAAGAAACGTAAAAGTTCCATAAAAGTGTTTGCATCTGACACTTGAAATATAACTCTGTCCAACACTGGTTCCTGATCTGAGTAATAGCTTGTGGCAATCAGACTAATATCTTAGTGCTATTGTTGATCCGCTGACTTCTTATATGGAGTCCCGACAGGCCGACAGAAACGTGAATGTGATATTCAGAACATGAGCTGCAGCCTGCAGTGGTTTAAATGATGTTATTATGAAAGTTTCCAGAAAATCGAGGACCACTGACATGAAAAATCATTTGTGACAAACATACCTTTCTGACAGCCATGAAGAGAATTTATTGAGAGGTATATATCTTGGTAAACTCAAAATGTATCTATGTTACTACTGTCTTGCTTTCACATGCTCCCTACCTGTCTTTACCTTTTTAAGTCACCCGTCTTACCTAGGATAAGAACTAAGAAGTTACCTGGGTGCTTTATCTTCTTTAACTCTTTTCAGCAGTGCCTGAGTGCTGCTTCACATTTTATTTTTAGCAGAAATGGCTTTAATCTGGGCCTTATGTAGTTTGCAACCTATGACTTCATCTAGGTCATTAATAGTCTAGTTTTTAAGACATTGTATGAATGTTTTGATGTACTCTAAATCTGTAAATTTTATGTTATATTATTGATATAAGAGCATCATGAGATGTATATATTTTGAATCACTTTCTCTTTCTGGTCCTTAATTACCTTGGCTACTATTCTCCTCTTTACTAGACAAGTATGGGACCCTTGTCTTCTGATTTTGCTGTTCTAGGTTGGCTTTGAGATAGAAGCTAAATATTTTGGCTCCACTTTTATCTCTTGCACGTATTCCTTTTATTTCTTTCTTTGTAAATTGAGAGCATAAGGGTAGGGATTACACTCATAAGGAAATCTATCTTGTGGATCAAATCTTAAGAAGAACAGCCTTGTGGATGTGAAAATCTGAGCTCTGATTACCAAGAGTATCTGATATTTTCCGCCTTTCATTTTCAGATATGTCTGTACAGTGTTAAGTGTAAACATTTTTAAAGAGTCGCCAGCAGATAAAAGGCCAACTCATGTTAATGTCTTCTTTGCATCTCTTATTTGTACTGACCTGTAGTACCTTCTTTTCTCTTGGGAGGGGGCGCAGTGTTTGGCTGCATGTACACAAGGACTACACTAACGACAATGATTTAGTATAGATTGAGGGTGAGGTTATGAGGAAGTTCAAGTATGCAATCTTGTTCTTAAAAATATAAAAACTGTATTAGAGGAATGTAGGAGAATGTGGGGAGCATAAGAAATGGCTTAGGAATTTTATGTGGCCGCTATATTACCTAAACCACTTATTTAGTTGTTTTCTTTCTAAATTGGGTTATTTAGTTCTTACAACATATTGTTCACGTTGATTGCTGTAAAGGCCTTATTAATATCAAAATTTGACCATTCATTTTCAATTTAGCCCCATCAATTTGTGATCTAGTTGATAGAACTACAAATTTTGATTACTGCTCAATATTCTGAATGGTTACTGCTCATTTTTATGCCTACATTTGATTGCTTTTTTAAATATTCTACCTAAAACACCATTACTTGCAGGACATTGTATGCGGCCGTCCAAGTTCCAAGTTCTGCTGCAGCAGTTGGGTTTTTTCAAATGTAAGATAATGATTTCATTCTCTTAAAATTGCTCTATTATTTTCTCCATTAAAATACTATTAGAGTACCAGAAGTTATGATTATAACAAAACAAAGGCAGGTGACTCAAGATCAACTTCTTTGTCCAGAAACAGAATGTAGCTCTTTAGAAAAAGTTAAAAGCATAAGACTAGATAAAATGCTTTATTAATTTTTTTCTGTATGAAAAAAGTGTTTAAAGTATCATTTGTAGCATGCATGAACCTGTTCTCATAATCCCTAATCACTGTTATACCTTTTTCTAGGTTAAGCTATAATTAGAACCTTTAAGTGGCTGTACAGTGCATGAACATAAGTCAAGATATTCAGACTTTTATATTACTTCATATTAAGGCCCTGCTTTCTTCTTATTTTTGCTGAAGTGAAACTAGTCATTGAACTTAAAATCTTTTCTGGTTAAAATTGATTTTTTCTTATCAAAACTGATCTTTACTGAGTTAAACTTATCTTACTAATTTCCTTAATTATTTGCTCTTTGGAGTCACTAACTTCACTAAACTTAGGCCATATTCTCTTCACTTGATAGTAACTAAATTTATAACTTAAATCATTTTTGTTGAACTTAAGTTATTTTTTGCTAAATTTAAATTATTTATACTAATTCTAACTTATTTCTACGGAACAAACTTTTTTATTTTATTTTTTATTTAACTTTTTTTTTTTATTTTTATTGAACTTAACTTATATTTACAAGTACTGAACATTTTTTTAAAGGTGAAAAGAACAAAGCCTTATATATATATATATATATATATATATATATATATATATATATATATATATATATATATATATATATATATATATATATATATATATTGTTGACCATCGCCTGGGGCCGAGGAAGTATATATATATATATATATTTTTAAGGTGAAGTAAACAAAACCTAAGTATTAGTTGCTGAATAATCATATACTCATTTAAACTTTCATATGGAGTAGACTTCGTTAGGAAAACGTGACAGAACTGAATATAAATCGAAAAAAGTGACAATAAACTAGAGATGCTGGGAGGGTTACATCTATTGTGACCTTTGTGGGTACATGTGGGGTTGCTATATTCTGTTTCTTTTTCCTTTTCCTTTTCGAATCATTAAATATCGTTGTCTCTTGTCATAACAGTCATAATTTATTATATGCTCTCATTGTTTGGTGTGGGTATATATATATATGTCCTAGATGCATTTCAGAATGCAGAGGTCAGGCAACTGCTTATATATATTACAAGTATAATTCTGTCTTCTGTGTTTAGTTATTTTATTGCAGTATGGCCATTATTGAATCATCCCAACCTCTTTCTATTGAAAGCTTTTCGTACAGTTGGCTGATAAACCTAAAACCATCCCTTGAAAGCCTCAGTGAATCCTTCAGAGCTGCTATGGATTCATCCGATGAGTCTTTTTTCATCGAGATGGACCCAAACATGCCGGCTTCAAAGAGGTTTAAGAAACTAGACAAGGATTTTGATTTTAATCTTCCATTCTTGGAGCAAACTACGGATGCCATTGTACATGCCGATGAGCTCTTCTGTGATGGCCTCCTCATGCCTCTTGTTAACTCATCAAGGAACCAAGCATATAGTGATTCAAGTCCATGTGCTTCTCCTTTGTCAGAATTTCAGAACAGAAACACTGCTTCAGGTGATCGTAAGATCCGTTGTTCTTCCTTGAGAAGGTGTAGGAGCTTATTGTCCAGGAAGATGTTTGAAAAATATTTGTACTTTTTGTTCCCATTATTGGAAAAACTGAGATGTTGCAGATCAAAGTCAAAAAATAGAGCAGCTGATGATGGAATCTGGGTGAAGAATAAGAGCAGTTCATTTTCACCACAAGCATCACCTCGAACTAGTGTAGGTTCCTTCCCTGGTGACATGAGGCGGTCTTGTGATTCCGAGAGCTCAATTAATGAGGCGGTTCTTCACTGTAAAAAATCAATTGGTATGTAATTTTAGAGCTCTTCAGTATTCTTGTAGTTATGTAATGACAGGTTTTGTACATAGAGAAGGAGCCATAATACCGTGATGATAGAAACAAGTACCATATTATGGAGTACTAAATTTTACGATTTTGCAGATAAAGGGAATGAGAGGTTCAGAGATGTTTGTGTTCTCGCTCTCATCCTTTCCATGTACTCTCCCTTTCTTTGCTACCATTATGGTGCAACTTAATGTAGTGGTCCTGTTATGGGACAAGAAGAAAAAAGAGAGTATTCATTTATAAGAATTTTCTTTTTATCTTCTTTTTTTCCCTTGTTACATAAACAATAGAAGAGAAATTGCAGTTTTGATAATATATATTGTATCGATTTGTATCATTCTTATTTTATCGGGTGTATGTCTTTATAACATCGATATCAAAATACCGTTTTACTGTTTTACATGTCATGTTTGCAACTGGGTTTCTCTATTTGTTCCTCGATAAACAAAATATTGTAAATTTTCTGTGTGATATGACAGTTTAACATGTAGATTGTCACACCTTTTTTTTCCAGTTTGGGCCTATAATTTCAATATTATGACAATAATTATGAGTATCATTATTTGGTACAGCCTGTAACTAAAATAACAAAAATATTCCTTGTAATATCATTCAAGTATATAGACTCCTTGATGTGCTCGTGGTGTGTCTCTAACAATTGGGCATTGCTTAATATTTTGCCCCATAACATAAATTCATTGCTTGAAACATGGGTATTATGAATTGAATTGAATCACTTGGTAACATAACTAACATGTTGAGTTGAGTTGAGTTGAGTTGAGCTTAGCTCGGCTTGAGTTAGGTTAAAGTATATTCGGTTCAATATATTTTTATCGATTTCAACCTCGACGCAACCTCAACCAAGTTTGAATCAATCAACTTAATCACTCCGTACATAAACAAGCTCAACCCGTACAACGCTTCAACTAGTTGAGTGTTTTGATCTTGTCTTTCTCTTATGTAAAACATACTAACCCTCAATTCCAAGTCAAGTCTAGTTATTATAGGAGCCTCTACCAATCTTTCCAACCAACCAAAAAGAGATGAACATGGATGAGGTGGGGGCAAAACCGCAAAAATATAATTCCTTTTCAATTCTTTGTTATATAATTAAATGAAAATTTGACGAAATTGCCTAAATATTTCATGATCGGTCTCATATCACAAGTCACGATACAAAAGTACACCGTATACTATATACTATTAATGCATATATTTATAACAATTATTCTTGAGTAGGTTTTTAGTTGCTTATGTCATAAAATTCTTCCCTTTTTTGTAAGGAAAAAGATGGGGTTCATACTTCATACAAAACTTAAGAGATGGTCCACTATGATGATATCAAGCAAATTAAGGGAATCATCCAAACAAAGGAATCCTTATCTTCTCCTTGTTTTTTTAGATATGTTTCGTCTATTTCTAGCCATCCATCATCTAATTATGCCTTTTAATTGGGAGTTTATGCATTGTTATTATATATTTTTTTCATCCGAAATCCGTTGTTTTAACTGAAAATATAATACAAATGTACTATAATATATACGAGTAGTTAGACTATTTACTCGTGGTATATAGTACTCCGTATTATAACACATCTGCCATTAGATTTGTTCAAATACCATGAGAATTACTATATGCCATCGGATTGAATAATCTTTGACAAAAAAGAAAAAAAAGAAAAAAAATCTCTACAATTAAATAATAAAAAAGAATATATTAATGTGTAATATTATTATATTTGTTTTGATATTATTCTAAATTAAACTATCAATCTTAGCTTTAATAATTTTACTAAAAATTGATGATCAATTAGATTTTGCATTAAATTTTCCAAACCTCGCTCTAATGTGTACTCGTATTATGGTAGTTATACAAGGCAATTCATACTGCGTTGCAAAAAAAGAAAAAAAGAAAAAAAAAATATTTAATCCTAGTTTGGTAGCTAGTGTATTTCACTAATAGGAGCATGAAATACTTGTATAAGACATGATTTTAAAAAATTAGAGTAGGTCACACATAAATTAAACATATACGTAGTATTTCTTATATTTTTATTTTTGAGGGGAGCATATACGTAGTATGTAAGGCAGAATGCTTCTTTCTCCTCCTTTTGTTGTTTAGACTCACATATTTTAAGACGAATATGCATAAAATAATCAATCTAGTTGTCCCCCTTTTTTCTTTCAATATAAATCATCAAATATGTACTACGAGTATTTATGTATTAATAATTAGGTCGATGCTTGACCTCAACGTACATGTTTTAAATTCTCACTTGAATTATAAAATTATGCTCAATTTGATAATAAAAAATGAAGGATAAATTGGAATATGGAACCATGGAATTAAATGGAACTTGGGTAATTTCAGCCCCAGTTAGCTAGCAATATCTTTTGCTCTTTTGACATATTATTATATATATATGGCCAATAAGTGGTGGATCCAAAAATCTTTAATTTTGAGTTTGAAATTTTCGAAGATAAGACAATTTTAAATAAATACATTATTTTAGTTTAAATACTAAGTTAAAATCTTTAATGGGAGCACAATTATTTTTTCAAACAAATTGCAATTGAACTTGGCGAGTTTCTTGTTTTATAAACAATTTATTTGTATATACATTATTGTCACCAACTTAAATTAGTATATGAGTTTTGGGTTAAGATTAAGATTAAATCGTTTTGTTTGCTTTGAAACTTAAGAGTTAGAGAAACCAAAGGTAAAAGGGATCGATGGAAGCATACAAATCGTCAAATTAGGAAGAGGAGACAAATTAAATATAATATACATTGCCGTATAATATATCACAAACTATTGGGTGCGCGGCAGTCCGCACCCAATAGTTTGTGCAGCAGCGGGGCAGCGGCATCCTTACTACATCCTTCCACCACCTGCAAAATCCCCTTACTCCATCCTTCCATCACCTGCAAAACCAAAATAATACTTAGAAAAAATTAAATCCCCAAAATCAAAACAAATCACAAATTAAAACAAATAAGTAACTCTATGTCGAAAAAAAGCAAAATAAAACTTACAATTGGAGGTGCTAATGGCGCGGCGTTGGCTTAAGGTAGAGGTGGTGGTGGTGCCGCTTTGGCTTAAGGTAGAGGTGGTGGTGGTGCCGCTTTGGCTTAAGGTAGATGTGGTGGTGGCTGCGATGCGTCGGCTTGAGCGAGGAAAGGCAAGGGGTGCGATTTGAGTGAGGAAAGACAAGGTGGTTGGTGGGTTCGGTGGTTGGCAGGTTCGGCTGGTGATGCAATGGTTAGTTGGTGGGTTCGGTGGTAGGTGATTTGTGGCTGGTGATGCGATGGTTGGTGGGTTTGGTGGTTGGCGATTTGCGGCTGGTGGGTTCAGTGGTTGGTGGATTCGGCTGGTGATGCGGTGGTTAGTGAGTTACGTGGCTGGTGATGCGGTGGTTGGTGGGTTCGGTGAACGGTGAGATCGGTGGTGGCATGAGGATTTGTGGACGATGGCTTATTTTATTTGTTTATTGTTAATGAGAACCCCCATTCTCATTTGAAACAGAGAGAAAAAAAGAGAGGAAGAGGGGGAAAGAGGAGAGAGAAGGAAATAAATACATATTGTATGTTTTTAATCATATTTGCCAACAAATGAAGCATATTAGCCATTAAATGAACATATCAGCCACTTGATGTGTGATATCAGTCAACATTAGAGGCATATCAGACATTAATAAAACGTACCAATCAACACAAGGAACATATCAGCCAACAAATGAAACATACATATCATCTAACAAAATATACATATCAGCCAACAGAAGGAACATATCAGCCAACAAATGAAGCATATCAGCCAACAAAAGGATGAAATCAGCAAACAAAAGCAACAGGTAAGCCAACAAAATAAACACATCAGCCAACAAAATGATACATATAAGCCAACAATTAAAATCTACATATCAGCCAACAAAATAAAGATATCAGCCAACTAAAAAAACGTGACTGATGTCTGGTAGCAGCCAACAAAAGAAACATATTAAACATTAAAAAAAAAACATATCAATTAACAAAAGGAATATATCAGCCAACACAAAAAACATATCAGCCAACAAGTGAAACATATCAGCCAAGTCTGTCGTACGCAAATCATGCGTACTGCAGTCCGCACCCAATACCTTCTCATAATATATTTGACTTTTATTTACTAATCATGTGAAATTGCTTTTCTATTTAGAACATTTCTGATTTAATTATATGATGAACAACCATATATGGACAAATTTGAACAAGCAAATTCATTGTAAAGGATTGCATTTCAAATAGTCTTACCTTCAATTCAAATTTTCAATAAATCATTTCCCCCCTCCAAATTCATTTATTTAAGTCGAACCCTATCCATTGCATTGATCTCATAATGAATCTTACAATGAGACCACTCCATGCATATAATGGAAGTTATGCTTCTTCAAATCAAAATAAATGAAGTCATGATATAAATATATTAGTTACTCGTACAATTTTACTTTTCCAAGTTTCCCTATTCTCATATTTTACTTCAATCTTCTAGGTATCGATATTATTACGTGGGAAAATCATACGAAGTTTCATATTTTATATCACAAATTAAATATAATGGTCCCTCACTAAAATCAGGAAAAAAACAAATTTCTTCATCTTCTTCCAATAAATTATTATAATAATTATATATAGTGAAGTAACAAACATCACAAACTTAGAAAATTAAAATTAAAATTTAAATAAGGGGCCTTCTCTTCCCGACATAGGCAAATGGGATTGAGATTGTATTTCTTGAGCTTGAATTTGAAAGAACAGTGACATTGTCACATGTCTTTTAGCGAGATAAGGAGACATAGACAAACGTTGCTACCATATATTCCAAAAATCCTTGATAATGTCTCTTTTGTTTGTCTTCTCGAATCATGATACACACTCTCTCTATTTCTAAATAGACTCTGATCTGTATTATTCTATAATTATACATATGTATTGCTAATCTAAAACTAATAAGAAACATCTTATTATTATGATGTAATTATTTAAACTAATTGAAAGATTGTATAATGTATTGATATTATAAATGACGTATAAAATGTGATTAATATGAAACAGATAGAGTATTTATCTTCCCCTAATTTGTTTACTTACATTGTTTTCTTCTAAGTGAAAATCATGTAGGTTAGGGACCGATAGTTGAGTTATTTACCTTCTACCACTTGGAGCCCCATTCGTAATTAGCTAGGTTTGAGGGGGACCAAAAACCTTATAATAGTTATTATATATAGTCGTACTTGTACTTTTGCTAGATTTGTTGCTAATATTAATTTGCTAGTC